TGGTTTCATAACAATTAAAGGCATAATTATATCAACTTTTTACCACTTAACAGGATCATATGGAAAAAATTGGAAGTCTTTCATTTGGAATCCAGCGACAAATATGTCCCAACTTAAGAAACCATTTCAAATTTTGATAAGTTCAGCTTGTAGTCTTGGGTAGTCTTGAGGAGTGCTGCCTATTTTGGAAAATGGAGCTAGAATGTTGTCAAATTTTGTGCATGCTAGCAAGAATTTGAGATAAGAATTCTGAAACATAAGGTTCGGTTTGAAGTGTCTAGGATGACAGGTGGCTAAATGGATGCCCTCTAAAGGGTATGAAGGGAAAAAGACTTGATGTTATTGAAGGGTGCGGAAGTCTTGATTCGTAAATGGTTGTTAACCATAATTGAATGAACCATAGTGGACCAGAGAGGTTACCACCAAGTCGATTGTATTGAAGGGCATTCTCTAAGAGTGGTATATACATGGGCAAGAAGCAGCTTTGCCAAGCAGATGGTAAGGGTTCCATGATGTAGTAAGAAGACTAAATTATAATAGTGGGAAGAAATTTGGATTGATCGGGGGCAGAAGACATGTGTACACAACCAAGACACAAGAAAAGCTACATGTTCTTTGTTAGAGACTTCGATGGAAGGGTCGTCGACAAAGTGCTCTTGGAGGAAATGACCGTATGCTTTCCTATTTTAGCGAATTTTTGACTCGATCGTTTTATCCACCAGAAAAGCATTGATGTAGTATTTCTCCCTAATAGGTTTAAGACCCGTAATAGCAGCCACATCGAGCAAAGTTGGAGAAATAAGGCCATAAGGGAGTTCGATGACGTTGAGATTTTAATTCCAAAGTTGGACTACTAGGAGAAACATTAACATATCAAAATGACCCATGTCAAAATGAGAGAGATAAAGAAGGTCATAAATACCAATCCTTCTCCAATGGTTCTTAAAACTAGCTTCAACCCTATCAAGCCATTTAATGTAAGAGGGTTTCTTCTGAGGTGGTCTGGAGTGATATACTTTCGAAGTTTGGGAAAGAAAGTCTACTCTAAAATTTTCAGATTATTGTTAAAGAATGAAATTGTCTTTGCTATTTGAAAGGAAATCTTTTGGGTGGTCGGAGTTTTGGATTAATGGTTCTCCAAAAGTAAGTGAAACAAAACCAATTGAGTATGAGATTAATACCTATGTGGAGTAAATTTTTTTGGATTCCTCTAATAAACCAAGAACAGGTGCGAAGGTTTTTTTGTTTAGTTCAACGAATTGAGTATTAATAAGTTAAACAGTGGAAGTTCGGGAAGTTGCAGATGATGAAGCCATTTGAAGGGAAGATATAAGTCGAGATTCAAGTACGATATAGGTAAGATGAGAGTGAAGCAGTGAAGAATATTATGAGAAACAATTTGCAAAGTAGGGTAATGTGTGAGGATGAGGAAGATGGATAATTTTTAATGTTGAAAGAAGAAATTCTTTTCCTAGAAACCTAGTAATGTGATGGGCTTGGTATGGGCCCATATCCAATAAATCAAATATTAAAAATAAATTTAGACTAATGACGGGTGAAGGAGTGACGATACAAACAGTAACATTTATTACGAGAATTTTGTATTTATAAGGGAAATGAAATGTAATGATGGAAATATGGGATGAAACAACTTCTGAATAAAGTAATGATGAAACGTTTGAAGTTAATATCAAAGATAAGAGAATATGTATATTCATCGAGATTTCTATAATATTCTCTTAGAGAGAATTTTATTAAATCTAATAATTACAAATAGATCAAAAGAATGAATCTAGAGAGAAGACATCGATAGTTGTAAAGAATAAATGTGGTAATCAATAAAAGGTATAGTATGAAGATAGAAAAGTCATGAGTAGGTATTATCGAAAGAAGAGGATTTGGGGGATATTAAAGAAGTCAGAGTATCATTAATTAAGAATCAATGATTTAAAAAGTGAAAATGCCAAAATGTATCGAAGAGATAGAATATTGAGAGGGGCTATGTTAGAAGATCTTCAAGTGGTGTACCAAGAGATTTATGGAAATGGTTATGATCCAATTATTTGACATGTATAACTACAAGTGATAGGTATCAACAAAGTGGAGTGAAGGAAAACAATTATAAAAAAATAATCATCCGAAGATTCTAGTTAATGGTTTTACTTTATAATTTTATTATTAATTTTTCTTACTTTACGTCACCTTGACAGTTACATTGAAAGATATATATATAGGATAAACTCAATATAACAAGGGTGATTGCCAAATTGTACGAAGAAACTTACATTCTGAAAAATGTTAAGAACTGAGAACAAATATTTTCAATGGAGTTTTTCATAATTTGGATAATCACTTTTGTTGATTTCCTTTATCAATTTCTATTTTATCCTTAGTAATAAGTTAGATTTATTCTTCTTTGTCATTTATTTTTTTTCTTGGATATTTACTTTTCAATAATTTACTTTTATTGTTTTTTACTATTCTTGCAATTTACTTTAAATATTTTAAATTATACTAAATATAAAAATTAAATGTGAATGATCTTTTATTGAAATATATTATGTATTAAATTTTAGATAATATTAAAAATCCACATAGTATTTAGTATTTAAGTGATTTATCACGTAAATTTGTATAATTAAATTTAATTAAATCCAATAACGAATCATTTAATAAAGTTAATCTTTATTAAGTCATAATAACTCTAGGCTCAATTAACCTTTTTTCCTTCTCAACCAACATTAGATTAAAGAGTGTATAAAAATAAAGTTTGGTCTAACCAAAGCAACCTCTTGCACTAGGATCTCAAGCGCTGACTTAACAAGCCACTTTCGTTATTTTATATTTTGAAAATAAAGAAGATGGATTGAGAAGAAAGCTAGGACACCCATCCATCGAAGAACTTCCTCCTTGGCTTCAATCTCCATCACATCTTCATCCTTTTGTTTGCATGTTATTCAAAATCATGATTAGGGTTAGATGTAATTACTAAACTCTGTTATATTTTGATTATATTTATATATAGTCTCCATTCTTGTTTTAAATTTATATTTATTGATCGTTGTGATCAACCATAAATTACTTATATTTGTAAGAGATTGAAAAAATCTTTATAAATTCTTGATATAAGATAAGACAAGTAATAGATCATTTCTCAGAGAACAAATAATGAGTTATTGATTATATTTAAAACCTTGAATTTAATGTAAATTTATCCTATTATGTTGAAAAAGAATTGTAACTCAATAAGAAATATTTAAGATATATTCTAATGGATTGAATTATAATTATTTATAATAATGATTGATAATAATAATAAAAAATAAGAAATTTATTTAATGGACTTAAAAGACCAAGAAAATAAGGTGGTAAAGTTTAATCTCAATAATATCCATTTATACATTTTTAACTATTCTAGTTTTATTCCGTTTAAAAATAGCAAATTGTGTTTATTTAGTTTTACTGTTGCTTTTAAAATTTAAATTATCAAATTATATTTCTTTCAATTTAAATTTAATGGACTGAAGTTGGTGTAGTTTTTAGTATTAATAAATCTTTTTAAATTGACACTCTTACTCATTTTAGCACAAGACGAATGGTTATATTTTTTGTTTACTTCCATACAGTACTAGATTTCATAATTTATTGTCGTTGAAACTAAAAATAGCATTGCTTTGGGTCTTATTCGCTTTCATAGTGATCTTCCTACACGTTAAGGTAAAGAAAATTACATATATTAAGAAAATTAGTTAATTAACTAATTATATTACATATTAACTCAATCATTAGTTAAAATTATAATATTTTAGAAAAATATCATTGAATGATATAAAAAATAGTTAAATTTATTTATAGTTAATAAAAATGTAGTACATTAAAATATCTATTTTTTTATTAAAAACGTATGAATTTAAATTTAAATGATAAAATGAACAAGGCCAATTATGGTGGCATCGTGGTTAAGTCCTATCAAATCGATCGATCAATATTGATTTCAGGAAAAATTGTGCGGAATGGGTTTATCACTTCATAAGAATAATGAAGTGTTTGTTTTTGTAAGGATGGTGGAACCTCTTGTGGATTTTTAAAGATGTTGGAACCAGAAAACATTTATAGAAAGGAAAATGATATTTGAAAACCCAAATTCATACAGCTTATCTAAACCACTCTATTTTAGTATTATAATAATAATTTTAAATCATTTTTATTAAATCATTCGATAGATTATTATATTAATAAAAATGAATTATTTGAAGAGTTACATATAAGTAAAGCCTTGGCTGGATCATGAAGCTTAAGAGAACTCGGACATTGCTACTTATGACTCCATTGCTTCCATTTTTCTATTACAAATATACTCCAAACCATAGTTAACTTTTTTCCACAAAATTACGCAGAAAGAAATTTCCATTTATTTAAAGGCAAAGATCAGCAGTGTAAACTGCGAAGGGCTTGTGAGAAAAACTTGTTCTGACATTTTAGTGGCGAGAATTAGGGCTAGTTTGGTTCAAGCATTTTAGTTAATAATTGAGGAATGAAATGGAATAAGACTAGGTTCCATTATTTGGGTAGTTTAGATTAGGATTGAATGAAACCTAATGGACTGTTGTATTCCATTCCATCCATCGAGTACCTCTTTCCTTCCCCTCCAATCTGGGAGTACGGGATGAAACTAACCTTTTCATCTATTCAATGTAGTTTTATTTCACTTCATTTCGTCATTTGTTCAATTTGATTTCATTTTACCCATCAATAATATCTAAAGGATTACAAACACACAAGTTTTGAACAGGAAGGCATTAAAAACGATGTTTGCGTTAGAAGCTTTGGTGAGGCTATAATATCACCAATTTTGTGGCTATAAATGCAGGAAAACAACTGGAAACCTAGAATTAAATAATGCACAGGACACAAACCACAGGCAGTAAATGTTCCGAATGGGCACCATTGCCTCTAAAAGCAGCAACTGGTCCATCTCTAGTTCCATATCAGTACCCAAATTAACCCCTGCCTCGCCCTGCACCTACAACAAGAAAAAGCATTGGATGTGATTCACAGTATCTAAGTGACAAAATGTGTTGGATGGGATGGTATAGATAGATGAAGATGAAAATGAAAAAAGTGACCTAAAGATGAAGAAGCACATTAAATCCTTGTTTGGGGGAGAATTTTAAGAACAAGAAGGGAACTTCTGATTTAATTGAAGGTAACCATTAAATATAAAGTAATGCCCGTAGGTCTTTGATATAAAATTACAACATGGGCTATATTAGAATTTAGAACTTTAAGTTATTGACTTGTAACAACCTCTCTGAAATATAAAACCCAAACAACCAAATTCTTTTTCCATAAACATCCAGTAAGATACTCCAAGCTCCTTAAAAAATCATTTACTTTTTACATTGAAAAAAATGTTTGCTCCATCAGCAGATCATCAAAGAGAAAATAAAAGCACAAAAGCACTAAAGCAAGAACATATGTCAAGGTGAATTTGAGGGATAGAAAATTAAAATCAAAACAAAGAACAATTGGTATTTATGCATACTTGCATTTGAAAATGTTGTAAGGAATGATTTACCTCTGTTTCCACCTGGCTTTCCACCTGGACCACCCCTACCTCGACCTCCTCCTTGTCCTTTTGGTCCACCTTCATCAAGGCCACGCCCAATTCCTTTTGTTTGACGTCCTCCAGGACCATCTTCCCTACCTCTTCCCCTTCCACGTCCCACACCAGGGGGTTTGCGATCTGAAAAAAAAAAGGCCACATCAATCGCAGAACTTTCTAGTTTTTTGTTAATTGAAAAAGTAATTTTAAGTACAACACCAAATTGTAGTGATGAAACATTTGTTCACTGATTTATAAAAGAAACAAGAGTACTCTGAAACTGTTAGGTTTAAGCATTAAACCATATGCATCTTAGATATAATCAACACCAAAAACACTATCAGCCCTGAGGTAATTCATAACCACTAACCATTTTTTGAATTGCGTGTGTTTTGGGGTTGATGAAATTAAATGGTAATTTGGAATGTACAAGTGAAGAAAATTAACATGTGTGTATTTGTAATGCTTGTAATCGTGAAAACCTTAACAGCTACTGCAATTTAAAACCTTGATGATAAGCATACCAGCATGTCTTTTTCACAAACTCATAGATCACCTAGTCAATTTAAATATCAATATGAACATGCAGATATTTGTAAAAAATAAGGCTTACCAGCACGGCTCTTAGTTTCCTCCTGGACTTTGTCAATAACCTAAATCAACAAAGCAATGAAGCTTGATTAGTGGATAGATGTAACTTGTAATCATGGCTAAGAGCTTAAGACGTTCACTAACTAATTCTGAACCTGATTCACTGAAAGAGCAAAAACAAAAATGACTGAAGCACCCCAGCATACCTCATCAGGAACCCGAAGGTACTTAATGGTATTGCCACGAATGTAGCACTCAGGCATACGCCAAAATCTATCTCCATCCTACGTTACCAATTTCAACGAATCATTGTAAGGTGCAACAGACATTCACGTATGACAAAATGAAAACTGATAATGAAAGAAAAGAGGGCTATGAAAAGAAGAATACTTTAGAGGTGCAGATGACTTCTCTGAGATGGATGTTCATCCATGTATCACAATTGACCAAATGGCCATTATAAGTCTCCCCATTTTTCAGTTCCACAAGCTGTTACAATATGTCACAAGTTACAAATCAAACAGTATTAAAACAAGCTTTAATAACCCTAAAAATAAAGGGTAAAATACAAACAAGGGGTATAACTAACCATTGGGTGACCTTGGGCAGTCTTGAGAAGGGAAAGGGGCAGCTGCAGCAAAGAGCGAATAGTGAGAGAATGCAACCCCAATAGTTACCAATTGGGAATCGGTGTGCATGATTACAGACTAGGGGAGTTGAATCCTATTGGGTTTTAGGTTAAAAATAATGTGTCTGGGAAAAAAGGAATGAACTTGAAGAGATCTAGGTACCCATTCATTGTGATGGTGGTGAAAGGAAGAAACTCAGAGAGAAAATTACCATGGCGGAAACGGTTGCTGAAGGTGGTTGTTTCGTGACTTGTTCTGATTTCTCTGCGATTTCACACAAAATTACGAATCAGTGCGCTCTCTATTATTTCTGTTCCTATTCAATATTTGGCGACTCCACTCTTGAGCGCGTTAATTTACTTATACTCTCTCTTTAATTCCTATAATATCTATTTTTTTATATTTATTTTGTTCTTTTATCATAAAAGATACTATCTTTTTCTATATTTATTTTGATCTTTTATATTAAAATATATTATTTTTTAATATTTATCTTAAATTTCCAAAACATAATTAATGATAGAAGAAAACAATTTTTTTATATAATTAATATTTTTTTAAAATTTCCAAAATAGCATATCCCCAACATTATTTACCCAATCAACACTCTTTAATGTGCTAATTCAAAATTTGGTTATTGGGAAGTCGAATTTTAAATTGATTTTTTAATTTTTTTTATAGATTTAAAAATTGTTATTTTTTATTATTTTTATAATTATAATATTTTTAAGTTTAGGATAATAATTATAATTATAATTATTTACAATAAAGTTCGAAATCCTTCGTTTCAAAGATGGACAAGGTTTCATTAGGCCCCTAATAGTATTTTCTAGGCTTCATTTAAGAAACACAAAGGTTTTTATTTTTAGAAAATAAAAATTAGAAATTTTGTCGAAGCTCAAGACGGCAGTCTCGGATCCGGACGGCCATCCCACCTAGTCGATTAGCTCGAGACGGTCGTCCCATATTATTTTTTAGTCTAGGACGGTCGTCTCAAATCCCAGACGGTCGTCCCAAGGTATTTTACCAAGCGAGATGGTCGTCCCAAAATCCCAAACGGTCGTCCCAACTGATCAAAGTTTGGGACGGCCATCCCACCTCCTTGGTGAGCAAGCCTATAAATAGGACATCGATTCTCATTGTTTGACACACATTTTCACACTCTTTCACACATTCTCACACCTAGAGACGTTCCTAGACGCATCTAGGCACCGAGTAGTCTTTTTGTTAGTCCATTTGGGCAAAAATCGGTTAAGGAAATCTCCTTTTGAGACATCCGACTCTCGATAGTTTAATAATTTTATTGTTCGAGGGAGGAGTACTCGTGTAGTGAGAGGGGACTGCCAAAAAGCGTCCTTGAAGTTTAAATATTTATAAAAACTCGCTTCGGAGGTTCTTCTTAATCCTTTACTCTGTTATCGCTTTCCTTTGTGTGCATTAGAAATTAGGGTCATGTAGATATTTAAATAAATACTGCAAATAAATAAATAGGGTAAAAACATAATTTTTAGATCTTTATTTTCTGAATTAGTCCATCATAGGGAACCCGAAAGGGGCGTTGTGGGGGTGCTAACACCTTCCCCACACGTAACTAACTCCCTTACTCAACTCTGGTTATAATGGCCAAAGTTGGTTTTCTTAACCAATGTCTTCTTTTTAATCCTTTCTCAATGTTTATGGTTAAAACATTGGTGGTAACTCCATAGAACCCCTTTTGTGAAAACCTCACTTTTAAGGATAGTTTGGTTAAAGAGCATCCTAAAAGTGATGACCATTTATTTTACGAAAATGCGAGATCGAACCATCGCGTCGCGATCGCACACACCTTTCGTTCCCCCCTCATGGGGGACGGCGGCGACAGATGACGACTCCACTGGGGAAGCCTAAAGAGTTGATCCCATTTAATGATAGATTAATTCAAAAGAAAATAAAAGATTTGAAATTACGCGTTTACCCTTTCTTGTATGTATAACATGCTTTATTTGTATGGCTTTAATAACTGTTGTATGGTTATTTTCCACAATTGTTTGAAATAAAAACTATACACAATCATTGCACACAACAGTCCCTCGATATCCGGGGGCATGAGCAATAAATCTTAGGGAGTGGGTGGCATGTACGACTAACCGTGGTAATGACCTTAGTGTCAGTATGACGTTGTCGGAAACCACCACTCAAGGTGATAACCCTCCTCTCTCAGTCTGCAGGACGTCGACACGGCTTTGAGCCACATAAGGTTTAAGGGCTGAGAGACCGTGGGAACCCTATAATGGGGGGCACCTTGGGGACCTGGGCTTGGTGAGGACAGTTAGAACCTACCCTTACTATGCACTTTTCTACAGGATACCCCTACCTCGTGATTTAACGTCGTCACTCTGTTCGCGAATGAGTGAATTGTTTAAGCATATGGTTGTTGCATTTGTTTGATTGCATTAGCGTAGACTGATCATACAATAGCCAAAATAAATAAAAATTCTTAAAATATAAAATATATAAAAATAATAATAATAATAATAATAATAATAATAATAATAATAATAATAATAATAATAGATGTCTAACTCCTGCTCGCAGATCCAAGCATTTCAAAATCTTATTTTGAACTTTTCTTACTATAACCGACTTTATCTCGAATAGTCTTCATTTAAGCTATCCTGGTTTCAGGTTCTTTGAAAGCTAAGTAGTCACGTTGACTAACAGAAGAGATAAGGAGTTATAAAAACAAACAAACAAAATAAAATATAATAAAAGATTTTGACAAAGTCAAATCATTCATATCATTATCATTTCAGGAGTGGTAAAAATAAGAGAGAAAATAAATACATAAGGAAAGTGTGCATACACATCATCCTAATAAAGTCTCCCATGCATAAACACATTCATTCTAAGGGCACTAAATATCCTTAGACAAAGACAAAAGAGACCTAAGTGCGTTTAAAACCTTCGTCATACTTATCAATCTCTGACAAGGAAGGAACAAGTGTGCTAAGGTGTGGTAACCTTCGTTACACTTGTCAATCTATGATGGGGAAGGAACCATTACACCGAGGTGGGTATGGTGCTCCGTGAAGCATAAGTTTTAAGGAGGATACCAAAGTCATTGTCTTAAGGCATATCCATCCCACACTAATAATTCATTTCAAATAAAAACTTTTAATTCATGTGCATTATAGAAAGTGGCTGGTCTTCTTCCTATCGTCACCCACGCGTAAAAAGCTAAGAGGATGGATCAGTTGGAGGAACAAAACCGCAAGCTCATCATTGAGCTTAATTCCATGAAGGAGTAGATGGTGCAGTTAATGGAGTTGATGCACCAACAATGCCTCCACAAAGAGGGTCCTCATAGTGATCATGCCTCTCATCACGAGGAAGAGGGGGAACCCCGTCCATGAGCATGAACAGGGAGTTCATGTGTAGCCCGACAGAAGGGCAGTGTTCATCTAGCCCCCCGAGGTCTCCAAGCAACAAATTTCTGCCCTGGAGGAGAGATTGAGGCTCATGGAAGGACACAACTTTGATGTGAAAAAGGCGGCGACATGTACCTCGTCAAGAATATCCATTTTCCTCCCAAATTCAAGGTTCCAGATTTTCCCAAGTACATGGGAATGACTTGTCCCAAGAGCCATCTTATAATGTATTGTCGTAAGATGGCTCCATATGTCGATAACGAGGAACTCCTGATCTACTGTTTTCAGGAAAGCTTGGCTGATTCGGCCTTGAACTGGTATATGCAATTGGAAGGGGAACAAGTCCAAACCTGGAAATAGCTGACAGACGCCTTCCTTCGTCGCTACAAGTACAACATTGACCTAACTCCAGATAGGTCAGATCTACAAGCTTTGAGCAGGAGAGGAAACAAATCCTTCAAGGCGTATGCTCAACGTTGGAGGGAGTTGGCCGCCTAAGTGGAGTCCTTGCTGTCGGATAAGGAAACCATATCCCTGTTCATCAATTCGTTGACGGGTCCCTATTATGATAAGATGATAGGGAACATGTTGACCCTTTTTGCGAATGTGGTAACCATCGGCAAGAGAGTGGAGCAAGGACTGAAGAGCGGAAGGATTGCGCAACCTTCCTCATCTAGTGCGTCATTCAAGAAGCCCTTTGGTAAGAAGAATACGGGAAGCGTGAAAAGCGACTGTCGTCATAAAAAGCGGTCGGAACGACGCGATGGTTTTGATGACTCGCGTTTTTTTTTTTAAATGTGATCCTTGATCTTAGGATGTCCGATAATCGAACTACCCTTAAGAACAAGATTTTCGTAAATGGGTTCTGGAGTCGTCACCAATGTTTTTACCATAAATATTGGAAAAGGAAAATAAAAGAAGACGTTGGTTTAAGAAAAATCAACTTTGACCATTATAACTAGAGTTGGGTAAGGGAGTTAGTTATGTGTGGGGAAGGTATTAGCACCCCACAACGCCCTTTTTGGGTTCTCTATGATGGAATAATATTAAAATAAAGACAATAAAATTATGCTTCTACCCTATTTATTCATTGTAGTATTTAAATAGCTATCTACATGGCCCTAATATCTAATGCATACAAGGAAAGCAGTAAAAGAGAAGAGATATGAAGAAGAACCTCCGAAGCGAGCTTTTATAAATCTTAAACTAGATGATGCTTTTTGGCAGTCCCCGCACTCTACAAAGATACTCCTCCCTCGAATAAAAATAATAACTAAACTCCTCGAGTGTCAAAAAAATCACTCGTACTCTGGATTAATACTCAAAGTTGCTTAGAAGTCCCAAAAAATAGGTCATCGGAGCATAGGAGAGTATGTGGTGTGTCCCAATGAGCTGAAATGAGCCCCTATTTATACAAATCACATCAGGCAGGCCGGGATAGCCGTCTGGGGATTGTCAAGTGGCACAGTTGTTTGGAAAAATGGGACGGTCATCCCGGGCTCAAGGAAAAGTGGGACGACCATCTGGGAAAATGGGACAGTCGTCCCGGGCTCAAGAAAAGGTGGGACAGTTGTCTGGGAAAGTGGAATGGTCGTTCCAAGGTTCACTGAAGGTGGGACCACCGTCTGGGAAAGTGGGACGGCCGTCCCAACCTAAATGGCAAGTGGGACGACCGTCTGGAGATGTGGGACGGTCGTCCCAGTTTTCTGAATTTTCTAAAAATTTTATTTTTCTCATAAAACCCTCATTATCCTAAATGGAACATACAAAATGCTATTAGGGGCCTAATGAATCCTTGACCATCTTC